TAAGAAAATTAGAACAAGTTTAAAACTTCTTGTGCTGACTAGTTAAAACAATTAAATATTAATTACGTGATTCTCTGGGCAAAGGAAATATAAATAATAAAGGTTTATTTGTTTGTTTTTAATTATGCACAAAGCTACACAAGGGCTATCTGTGCTCTGCCCACCACGGGTATCGAAACCCGGTTTCTAGCGTTGTAAGTCTGCAGACATGCCGCTGTGCCACTGGGTGGCAATAATAAAAGTAGTAAACAAACTTTTCATATTGATTTTGTCTTTTGAATATGTAAAGAGAGTTATTTTAGGGTTTTGATGTAAACGATGCTCATTATTAAGATGTTCAATTTGATTAATTTTTTTGAGAGGCAAATTCTATACCCAGCTTTGCCCATGGTGAAATCCCAATAGATCCGGTGAAAACTCTCAGTTCATAATGGGCTTTTAAAGAGCTTTAAAAGCTCTTGTAATGTACTTTAAATGTCTTACCTAAAAAGTTTTGCAGGCTATTATAAGGAGACTAAGCTCCGTCTTTCTTCTCTTGAAAACGCGGAAAACACGTACAAATTTCCTAAAAATGAGCAAAATCTCTGCGGGGATTTTCAGTAGCGTTCAATCTCCAAGACAAGTGAAGTAGATCAGAAGTGAGGAGGTGTAGATTTAGTTGAATTTTGTGCAAAGCTACACGATGGCTATCTGCACTAGCCGTCCCTAATTTAGCAGTGATAGACTAGAGGGAAGGAAGCTAGTCGACACCACGCATCGCCAACTCTTGGGCTACTCTTTTACCAATGAATAGTGGGACTGACTATTCCATTATAAAGCCCCTACGGCTGAAAGGGCGGACATATTCGGTGACGGGGATTCGAACCCACTACCCTCAGATTGAAAGTCGAGTGCCTTAACCACCAGGTCCGAGAAGATGTAGAAGTCGAGACGAGAAACTTAGCAGAAACTTAGCAAAGTAGTTGCGTCATTTCTTGTTCAAAGCAGCCCATTTCACAGCAGAGATGTGGTCAAGATTTCTACTGTCTGAATTTGGTACAATTAGTGCATTAAATTTAATAATAATATTGAATTTTGCTTATAATGAAAACTATATTCTACATCACGAAGTAAGAAATATCCTAAAAATATTTTAATTATGAAATACTTCTCCAATCCAGGCTTAAACGCTTATTCTAACTCGGAAGTATAAATCGGAAGCTAAGCAGTGTGAATCAGAAAAGAGCAGGAAACTTAAACAGCAGCGATATCTTTATTCTCCGCATTGTACTTGGATATTTTATTAAATATATTTTGGTTATTATGGGAAACAAACCAAAATGCCGAAAATTTTAATTACAATATTTAACTTGTAGAAATTTGTTCAAACGCAAATATTTACAATAGCTATTGCAACAACGATATACGAGTTATTCTATAAAATATGTTTATTTTTCAGTATATGGGAAAGTTTAATATGAATTTGGTTTGATTTTGGACTACTAAGTTAGCATACTAAGTTTGGTCTGGATCAGTCAACTTGTTTAGAAAAGATGCATCCACAAAACATTTTCTTTGATATTGGATAGTTACCTCATCGGTATGGCTTAATATGTATAGCACATATTTGAAGAACGCCTTTAACTCCAATTTTTATACTCAGCTGGATAACCTCCACAAGCAAACATATTCTAGTTATGCCTTTCACTAACATGGTAGATCTTACCTCCGTGGTTATGAGGATAAATTCATCTACGAATCCTCATGACATGCTTTAACTTAAATGTAAACTATAACTTCTACAAAGATGTTCTATTTAAGCCTTTCATTACTATGACAAATCTTCCTACCTTCATGGTTATGAAGAGTTTCACTTACAAATCCTCGTGACATGCTAAATACAAACTAATAACTTCTACGAATAAACCTATTTTAATTAAGCCTTTCACTGCCATGGTAGATGTTAGAGGATTTCATTTTTAGTTCACAAAGACGTGACACCATTATGAAGTCAGTGTCAACCCTAATTTACGTAAACGATGTAAACAATACTAAAACAAGTGATTTAGATGTTCATAAAACATATAGAAACCTCAATGTCGTTTATAGAGTATCCAGGACAGACTGTGACGTTAAAATTATGTGCCCCAAATGCTATCTCTCCATGTAAACAAGCAAACACACGCCCAGGACAAATTAGAACTAGGTATTTAGTTTGCATTCAGTTTTAGTCATTAAAAGGCGGAGATGGTTAAGCCTAATATAGGACCTGTATATGTACTGTATTTAAATAGAAAGTCACCTGCTAGACTTACCACCTCACGCACACAGTCTTGGTTGTTCAGATTTATTCAAGATACTAAGTGACAGACAGACAGATAGTGTTACGCAGCGAGAGGTGCATACTGCATATCAGCATTTTATTCCGTTTGAAATAAAGATTTAACGTTATATAAGTTGTTTATAACTCTTACAGTACACATTACGATCCACAAGATATAAAGTTAAGCTCATTATAATAAATATCGAAGTGCACTTTAAACATATTCACTGTATAATAATTTATATTTTAAATATTTGTAATATTTATTTTGAATATTTATATTTATTTTTAATATTTATAATATTT